GAATTAAAGGATATTTAATTTTACTTATTAAATTTATTAATTTATTCAAACAACATTTACTTTTCATTCTATTTATATTCTCGATGTCATTTCACTTTCACTTTCATTTTCTATTTATATAACGTCACCATAACTACCGTAATTATACTTACACTTCCAGTTAACTGCTTAACCACTTAACCGCAAGAAATGCACCTCACTGTAAATCTGATATGTAACATTGTCCTGATGACACCTATCTATAGGTGAAACATGTTGACCATTAAAACTATTACTATGCGGTAAAAATATCTGAGTGTTGTTGTCTTTTGTGACACATACAAATATAAAGGTTAAACAAACAATAAACTTCCCTCGGTTTGAATCCAAAACAATATGATTTGTTCTTTATCTCAGAAAATTGATACCAAGGAGTGAACATTGAAGTTTAACACTTGCACTTTACAAAAGAACTTTTAAAAAAAAAATTGGTAATGATTGTTTATAATTTCATATATTGCTTCTTAAGTCTGTCAACACTGAGATCGTGATTTTGAATTTCACACATGACAGGTGAGTTTACTAATTAACTAGGATAGCATATAGTCATGTTACTGTAAGTGATGTTAAACACCAACAATCAATTTATCAACCAATCAAATATTGCTTTTCTCTTAGAATTTTTGATTTTTGTAATTGTAGAAAGCTGCTATTTCAAGAAAAGAATCCAAAAACACTGAGAGGATTAAAGACAGTGTGCCAGCAAGTGAAATTATAACCTTAGAATCTAAAAATGCCCACTTGTCACCAGCTGCAGGTTCAGAGAAACTAATTACACCTCTATATACTGCAACACCTATTATTGATATTTTAGAGCAAGATATAATGGCAAAAACTTGTAAGTTATTATTTATACAGCAAATTTGAGAACATAAAAATAATAAAAGAGGATCATCTAAAATATTTGATACCTGTATTACAACAGACCACATCCACCACCATCTAAATCATAAGAAAAATTTCTAAAAACGACTAATAGCCCATGATCCAGATAGCCTGACTTAATATAGGGATGGTACACAATGGTGATGGTGGTGTTGGGTGTGTGTGTGTGTGTGGGGGGGGGGGGGGGTGGTGTTAGGGGGGAGGGGGATAAACAGTTTTTCTTGATTTTGCCTACCTAGACCATATTTCATTAAACTGAAATGCACAAATGAATTCCTTATTTATGTTATTAGAGCAGAAACTGCCAACAGGATAACAACTAATGAGAAACCGACTAACAACAAATATACGTATAGTTTGGTAGGTAGGATTAAAATCTGTTGTTGGTATGATACTGCTGCTCCAGAAAACATTTTCTTGAGAACATAAAATCGAAAAAGTTCATGTTTGCTTTCAAACTAACATGTCTGCCATAGAGTGAACCTATTGTTATTAGGATCAGCTGCACATATTATCTCTAGTTAACATTTATTTTATTACTTTTAGGTATATCAGAAGTGTGGCAATGGACACGAGTTGGTACAAATGACACATTAGGCACCATTGGTAACATCAGCATAACGTTAGAAAGTTTATTTTTTTTGCGGGGCTTTTTGCCAGATGAGGTACATAAAAATATAGTCCCTTTTTATTGTCTCAGAAATCGTCCCGCCCTGATTTTTTTTTTTTTTTTTTTTTTTAATACATATTCTGCTGCTCTATGATGACAAAATCGTCGACTGAGAATAAAGATTGATTAATTACGAGATGGGCATGAAATATTTGAGTAACGAGTAATGTGCTGTGTCCTGGAAGGCAAGTCGCGCTATGTCACAAATTTCTCTGATAAGAAAACTCTTGATTTTTTTTTATTTATATAATGACTTTGTGTCAGGAAATTTGGACTGTAAATGATATCCAAAGTGCAAGAATCGTTGAACACATTGGTACAAAAACATGACTGGATTAAAGAAATTGACACAAGCATGAACTTGTTAGATTTATGGCTGTATTTTGAGTTCAAGAGGTCGACAAACATACACATTGTGTTATATGTAATATACCTGATTTGGTTTGGGGGACTAAAGACAAGTATAATATAAATAAAACAAAGAGCTTTCAAATTATGATCCTTTTACTTTGGATTCAAACATTAACCTTGACGGGCATATGAATAAATTGAGATTTGAAACTAGTTAAATTTTCATCAGTAAATTCGCAGTCTTCAGTATCAGTGCAATAATTAGCATAGTTTATTTCTTCACGTTGACGACTTTGAGGCGGACTCCTTTTTCTGGCACCTATGGATGAACGCCCGAGGGGGCGTGCCCTATGACCCCAGGGTTCGACTAGTTTCCAGGATTACTATGATGGTGACACTGAAAAGCACCATGTCCAAATTGCTGACAAAGTTGACACTGCAGAGTTGGACTTATTTCACCGTGACCATTCCAGTTGCAATATGCTCGAAAGTGACCAGGAGCCTGACAATTAAAGCACGTTTTTGATTGGTTATTTCCTGCCTGACTTGAAAAGTTATTGTTGTAACGAGGGTTTTGATATTTTGGAGGCATTCCTGGTTTGATATCGTTATTTTATGATTTTAATTCTGATAGTGCTTTTGTGAGCTCTTTAACTTGGTTTTGTAACTCTTGAACCGGATTATTATCATTAACAACCATTGGCTTAGCAGCTGCAACACAAACTACATCGTCCTTCCTATACCCATAGGCTTCGCCCATTTTAGCTGCGGACAATGCACTAGCACTGTCTTTATGTGTACCAGCCCTAACAAAAAACGCAAGCTGTTCCGGTAAACCCTTGATAAACTGAGAGAGAATTTCATGGTCCTTCTTTTTCAAAATCTGAGCTTTCTCAACTATCTGTCCATAAAAATCTTCCAAAATTTGACCCCTACTTAATTTCATATTTTGAAAATTTTCGCTCTCAAGGAACACGGTCGGACTTTGCCAATCTAACTCTATATACTTTTCATCATGAGTTAAACACTCCATCTTCTTGTCATAGAAAGTTCAAATGTAATGAGATAAGTCTCACATACACAAATAAACAGTTTTATTCAAATATACAGCCATTTTCTGCCCTCACGTAACGTTGTGAGTCAAACCACGTGTTTTGTACTGTTGACAACTATTTCAAGGCTTCATTTTAATGTTTCATATGTTCATTTTGTATATATCAGGTACCAATTGTTACGATTTTAGGTTCTCCACTATGAAATACACCTGACTTAGGTTTAGGGGACTAAAGACAAGTATAATATAAATAAAACGAAGAGCTTTCAAATTATGATCATTTTACTTTGGATTCAAACACAAAAAGAGGCTGATACATGTAATAATCACACCAATCACGGATAAGGCAATACAACAGTTCCGGAAAGTATGGATTCAACATACAGATATACAACATATAGCTAGCCCTTAGATTTACCCAAGTGTCTGGTTTTATTTGGTGTTTCGGCTTACAGAAAATCTTTTATACCTGTCAATTATGTGATTTTTTTTTTCAAATTACTGTGGATTCATTATTATTCGTTGGATACCAATTTTCCAGGGTAAAGGTGAACCACAAATTCAAATTTTTAACAAATTACACATTTTCTATAGGCTTTGTATGCAGAGATTGACCAAACCACGAAATCAAATACCCACGAAAATGCAAGTTTTCCACAGTCCTTGAAAATTGATATCAACAAAAATAAATGAATCCACAGTAGGTTAAGAGGGGGCTGATTATCATTAATATAACTATGTCAAGTAAGTTTTTATAACACATTTGAATTACAAAAAGATGTAGTTTCTAACTGGGGTACAATTTAAAGTAGTTTGTAAAAAGAGATACCAAGTCCATGAAAATAAAATAAAACTCAAGTTTAAAACAAAATTACTAAGTTACACATGTTACAAATGGAATGCAATACTTACAGAACAGATAATGGCAATCATTGAACAAAAGACAAACCTGGGAACAGAGAAAACACAAAACAACAAATAATTGACAAATAACACTGAAAACTAAAAATAAATGAGAAACATGGATCCTGAAAAACGGGGGCTACGTCAGACAGTGAACAGAACTTGCATATGAAGACCAGCTTTTGTTTTTTAAATTTCCTACATGAGGCATTTGCCTCAATTTAGTTACGGCCCTGTAATAAAAGTGAGATTATGATGTTGGATACCAAAATGAGACTTTGAGAAACTTTTCTTTCCAGGTAATTGATGCCTTTTTGCATCAATTGACTTCAGAATCAGAGAAAACAATATATATTAACAGTACTATAATGACAGCAATTGCATCTAGGCAAGCAGATATACATGGCTGTTTACAGGAGGTAAATATAATTATATTTATAAGTGTATTGCACAAAGATTGTAAAAATGCAGATATTTTTAAAATTAATCAAATTTCACAAAATGTCCAGTAAAACCTGCATAAACACCAACTAGGGCGCTATGAAAAAGGACTGCTTTAGATACTGTTTTTCTTTTAGGTTTCCAGATTGACAGGAAGTTATCAATTTGTGACGACAGCTATTTTGCATGTAAAAGTTCTGTCTTATTGTAAACTGTAAACTAATAATTGAAATGCTATGATAATGAGATGACTTTTGCAAAAATATTTTGACATAAACAGTACCAGTTTTCTCTAACTTTCAACCATTTTACTGTGCAAGATCTTGTCTTCAGTCATTGTTTTCATAGGCTTTGGAAATTGGAAAAATTGGTTGTTCTGGAACTTCCCTGTATTTCATAAAAGGAACATTTTACAATTTTTTTTTATATCCTTGTATCTCAATGAGACCAAATTTTCCTTAAATCATATAAATTAATCATGCATTTTCATCCATTTTTAAAAAATCACAAGATTTATAATGAACAGAATAATTTCTGAGTTTACAGTGTGCATTTCAGAACTCAAGTCAAAATTATAGTTTAGTCATGAGAAGATTAAACACTATTTTGATTGCTAATTGGTCTTGCTGTTAAAATGTTGTTACTATTACTATTTGTAGGTCAACTTCGAGGACTATGATTGCATTATTGGAGCAGTTAATGAAGGACAAAATCACTGGACATTATTGGTATGTCAAGATATTTGATTTGAACATAGATCTGAAACATAAGTTGTACATTTCACAATCTGCAGTCATATGTATGTCCAGTTATACTTTAGTCTCACTCTGTAGATTCTGCATACATAAACAGATATATTTAGAGTTTTAGTCTTTTCATATGGCTGATCATGTACAGACAAATGCATAATATGCTATATATCTTGTTTAAAAGAGAGGCCAAAGATGCCAAAGAGATATTCAAATTTAATTATTCAAGAAGCTAACACAACATGCCAAAGAATCAAAGCTTTTCATTGCCATCTTTTTAAATTATGTCACAAATATTCAGATGATGTGAGCCATTAGGCTTAATCCAAAAAAAACCCATATTTTGCTAGGAGATATATTTTACAAAGATGCAAATGTATTTAAATTTTCTCTTTGTTCATATATATTTTGTGTTTTATGTACTTTACAGGTTATTTTTCCACAAGAAAAAATGATATGTTACTATAATCCAATGGGTGAAATGTTCCTGTCTATGCATGAATTGATGGAGAACTGGTAGTAAGTATAAAAGACTTTTAGTCTTAATTTGAACAATTTTTAGCTCACCGGGGCCCAAAGGGCCCCATGTGAGCTTATGCCATCACTTGGCGTCCGTCGTCGTCCGTTGTCTGTTGTCGTTTGTCGTCGTAAACTATTTCAAAAATCTTCTCCTCTGAAACTACTGGGCCAAATACCTTCAAACTTTAACTAAATTTTCCTTAGGGTATCTAGTTTATAAATTGTATCCGAAGTTTTGATCCATAGACAAACATGGCCGCCATGGCTAAAAATAGAACATAGGGGTCAAATGCAGTTTTTGGCTTATATCTCAAAAACTAAAAACTCTAAAGCTTTTAGAGCAAATCTGACATGGGGTAAAATTGGTCAATTGGTCTAGATCTATCGGCCCTGAAATTTTCAGACGAATTGAACAACCCATTGTTGGGTTGCTGCCACCAAATTGGTAGTTTTAACAAAATTTTGCAGCAATAATGTTCAGCAAAGTAAGATCTACAAAAAAGTTAATATGACCATAATTGTCAATTGACCCCTTAAGGAGTTATTGCCCTATAAAGACAATTTTACACAATTTGTTCATCAAGTTTGCTAACATTTAAAAATCTTCTCCTCTGAAACTACTGGGCCAATTACCTTCAAACTTTAATTAAATGTTCCTTAGGGTATCTTGTTTATAAATTGTATCCGAAGTTTGTATCCATAGACAAACATGGCCGCCATGGCTAAAAATAAAACATAAGGGTCAAATGCAGTTTTTGGCGTATATATCTCAAAAACTAAATCTTTTAGAGCAAATGTGACATGGGGTAAAATTGTTTAATTGGTCAAGATCTATCGGCCTTGAAATTATCAGATGATTCGAACAACCCATTGTTGGGTTGCTGCCACCGAATTGGTAGTTTTAACAAAATTTTGCAGTTTTTTGTTATGATTTTGAATATTATTATAGATATATATAAACTGTAAGCAGCAATAATGTTCAACAAAGTAAGATCTACAAAAAAGTTAATATGACCAAAATATTCAATTGACCCCTTAAGGAGTTATTGCCCTTTACAGGCAATTTTACACAATTTGTTCATCAAGTTTGCTAACATTTAAAAATCTTCTCCTCTGAAATACAGGTGAGCGATTCAGGCTCTTGAGAGCCTCATGTTTATTAACTTGTGCTTATCTTGAATGTAATTTTTTGGGTATCTATTCTTACTGATAAATTATGTAAATTAAGAATTGATTCATTTAAACTTATTCTTAAAGGTTACCAATTTAACACCATGGTAAATCTTTAAATATTGTTATTACCAGTACTAACATTGATTTTTGTGAACCTGTGACTTTTGTCGCAAAAGTGAGATATAGCGATCCTACGTACATTCTGTCGTCGTTGAGGTTATAATTGTAAAAACTTTCTTAAACTGTCCTGGATTTCTACCAAACTTGGACAGAAGTTTGTTTATGATTATAGGATAGTATCAAGAAGTAAATTTTGTTAAAAAAAAAAAAACTGTTTATCCGTATTTTACTTATAAATGGACTCAGTTTTTCTGCCAGTTAGCATTACATGCTTCTGTTGTTAAGGTTTTTTAAATTGTAATAACTTTCTTAAAATATTCTGGATTTCTACCAAACATTGACAGAAGCTAGTTTATGATAAAAAGCTGGTGTTACTCCTCTGTCCCAGCTGGTTAGGAGAGGGATGAGTGCGCACAAACATGTTTACCCAGCCATATTCTTAATGTGCCTGTCCCAAGTGAGGAGCCTGTAGTACCAATATTTTTCTCTTTTGAATTATTTCACTTTTATTTTTTTCATGTATTGGCCTTTGATAGTTGATTATTCAGTATGTTTTTTTCTCATTGTTGAAGGTCAACAACTTTAAAAACAGCTATAAAACCAGGTTTAATCCACCATTTTCTACATAAGAAAATGCCTGTACCAAGTCAGGAATAGGACAATTGTTATCCATTTGTTTCATGTGTTTGAGCTTTTGCCATTTGATTAGGGACTTCATTTTGAATTATCAAGTAGGTATTTTTGTTTTTTTATTTTTTTCTATACAGACTTAGAATCTTATTAATTTACCTGTTTATGATGATGATCCTTAACTTTTTGTAGTGACGACTCAAGTTGATCTTTTTCAAAACTGTATTGGAAGAGATCTAATGTTTGGAGCATTACCCTGTATATATATTCATGCCTCTGAAAGAAATCTGTACAATATGAGAAGTAAGTTATTTTATAGTGATTGCCATATTTACAAGATATTCAGTTATAACTTTCAAATTTCAGTTACTTTATGAAGAAAAGGTCAGATTTTATGCTTGATGGGGAAGGATCATGGAGAGTACAAGTCCTAGAGCACTCAAAGCAAATGGATGGCACATCATGTGGTGTTTATGTATTGAAGGTTTGATATATTATTTAAAAAACTTAATTTAGTCATACATACATGATTTTTTTATTAGTTATTATTGGCCTTGAACTAGCTGTCAGTAACTGTGATACTCTCAAATCTGTACTTGGTGTTCTTTTGTTGTTGGGATATACATGTACCAGGCCAAATCCACTCTGTGTAGGATTTGTATCCATCTGATGAGTTTAGCCTTTTTCAAATGATTTTTATACCCCCGCTTTATAAAAGTGGGGGTATACTGTTTTACCTCTGTCTGTCCATCCTTTCGTCAGCCAATCTGTCAGTCCGTTCGTCTCATGAATATTTTCGTTGCATTTTTCTCAGGAACTACTTGACAAGGATTTCTGAAATTTGGTTTCAAGGTTTATATAAGTAAGTTATACTGTGTGATGCGTTTTCAGTTTCATCACTCAACAACTTCCTGTTTACCGAACACTTGTATTATTTTACACATGATAGCCAAGTTGAAAATTTTCGTCGCATTTTTCTCAAGAATGACTTGACAAGGATTTCTGAAATTGGGTTTCAGGTTTTATATAAGTCAGCTGTACCGTGTGATTTTTTCAGATTCATCACTCAACTTCCTGTTTACCAAATTATATTTCGGCGGGGGTATCATCAGTGAGCCGCAGCTCACAGTTTTACTTGTTTAAGTTTGTTCTTATGGTGTACTGTTACAACACAGTGTCAGGTTAGGGGAGGGTTGGATTCTGCTAACCTGTTTTACCTAGGCCTGCCACATTCTGTATGTATGTGCCTGTCCCAAGTCAAGAGCCTGTAATTAAGTGGTTCTTGTTTGTTTATATTTGTTTTTTTGTTCATTTTTATACCCCCGCTTTAAAAAAGTGGGGGTATACTGTTTTACCTCTGTCTGTCTGTCCATTAGTCCATCCATCAGTACGTCAGTCCATCGGTTCCCTTTCTCAGGAGCTACATCATAAACATTTCAAAAATTTGGTTTCAGGGTTTATATAAGTCAGTTATACCGTGTGATGTGTTTTCAGATTCATCACTCAACAACTTCCTGTTTACCGAATACCTGTATCATTTTACACATGCTAGCCAACTTGAAAATTTTCGTCACATTTTTCTCAGGAACTACTATACAAGGATTTCTGAAATTTGGTTTCAGGGTTTATATAAGTCAGCTATACCTTGTGATGCCTTTTTAGATCCATCACTCAACAACTTCCTGTAACCATGTAGGAATATTACATGCGAATAAATTGTCCATTTTTGATTGGTTTAAAGCTGTCATGCGATAAATTTGTTACAGGATTAACTAATGACCCCCTACTGACCATAGAGGGTGAATAAAACCCACAAACTTAAAGGTCCCCCCAAATTGTTGGCTCAGCTCCCTCCTACAACTACAATTCAGTACATTTAGTTTCTAAGGAATGACTTTTTGTAGTGTAGCTAGCTAAGTGGTTGGTTGCTCAACAAGTTTGAATTCACTTGAAAGTCTTTTATGAGTTACTTTTTTATACCCATGCAACAAAGTTGCAGAGGGTATAATGTTTTTGACCTGTCCATCTGTCCCTCTGTCAGTCCATCAGTCCTCTGATACCGCACAACAGAATTTCAGGAAACAGTGTAGATAATAAGGACATTTAATGTAGATGTGCTTTTCAACAGGAAATTACTATTGATTTTTTTTTCTAGGAGTTATGCCCCTTTGAACTTAGAATTTCGGCCTAATCATACTACTGCAACAGTTTGTCATCGCAACTTCTCAAAAACCACACAACAGAATTTCATGAAACTTTGTATATAATGAGGACATACAGTGTAAATGTGCATATTCACAGGAAATTTTTTATCAGTTGACCTTTGTAGAGTAATGTGTCTTTGAACTTAGAAATCTTTTGAGATTTTGTTTGTCCAGTGACAATATGAGGGTGTGGGGTATGTGAGCGTACTCACAAATGTTCTCTAATTTTTGAATGCAAGATTTTTATGGCCATATAGTTTTACCCTTGTCCGTCATTCAGTCATTCCGTCATTCTGTCATTCCGTCATTCCGCAACAAACCATTATACAGACTTTTTTTCTAAATGCCTTCAGATATTGGGCTGATATTTAGTTTATTAGTTAACCATGATAAATTACAGATCAAGTATAAGTTTCGTTCCGCTCCGCTAATTTTTGCCGAAATTACGGGGTTTTGACTTTGATAAATTGTTGAAAATCACAGTTATACGGACTTTTTTTCTAAACTCCTTCAGATATTGGGCTGATATTTGGTATGTGAGTTAACCATGATGAGTTATAGATCAAGTTTAAGTTTCGTTCTGCGCCGCTAATTCTTTCCGAAATTACGGAGTTTTGACTTTGATAAATTGTTGAAAATCACAGTTATACTGATTTTTTTTCTAAACACCTTCAGATATTGGGCTGATTTTTGGTATGTGAGTAAGCCATGTTCAGTTACAGATCAAGTTTAAGTTTCGTTCCGCTCCGCTAATTTTTGCCAAAATTACGGGCTTTGGACTTTGATAAATTGTTGAAAATCACAGTTATATGGACTTTTTTGCTACACGCCTTCAGATATTGGGCTGATTTTTGGTATGTGAGTTAACCATGATGAGTTATAGATTTAAAGTTTAAATTAGGTTTCGCTCCCCTGATTTTTGCCAAAATTACGGGCTTTGGACTTTGATAAGTTGTTGAAAATCACAGTTGATTTTTGATATGTGAGACTACCATCATGTTTGTGTCCACATGTGTTGTTGAAATTGCAGTTTTTCAACTTTTTGAGATGGTGCCATTCGTGTGGTTTTGACACATCTAGTTTAATTTTATTTCATTTTACATTTGTACGTAAGTATGCATAATTAAAGCAATAAAGAAAAAGAAAAAACTAACACTAGAGTGTCAATAATTTATCAAATTTGAATACAAAGTGGTGTTTTTTATTACTTGATTAGATGGCAGACACAGTCCTTTCAAATGGTGATGTAGGATTTCAAATGACACCAGAAGACCTACTAATGTACCGCCTACATATTGGTGCTGTGATAATGAGAAATCTAGGTAAAGCTTTATATACACATTATCTGAAATTATAGTTTAGTAAACACTTTTCATAGAAAAGTTACAGATGAAGAAAAGAGGACCAACTTTTGTAGTATAAATTGATGACACAACATTCATTCACATACACTTGACAAAATCAAAATCAGTTCATCTGCACCGCATGCTGTTTTTTATAGTGTTCAGAACATATTTCACCTGATATAAAAACTGAATGAATTCATTTGACCCTACCCAAGATAAAATGAATTGTTTAAATTAAAATTCATTAATTACAATACATTAAAAGGATTTGGACAATTATGACAAATTTACAATAAGAGAATTCTAAGCAGATAACCATCAGCAGTGATCTTTTAGGACTTGTTTCCTGCCACGAGTGATTCTATAAATTTTAGTGACTGACCTTTGTAAATATTTGTGTATAAATTATAATTGTGTATGTTTTTGTCCATCCTTCAACTTTTGTCGAAAAAGCAAAGACTTAGCGATCCTACATTCCGTCTGCAGAGGCGGCGTCCACAAATATTCACCCTTAAACTGGTTAAAGTTTTTGAAATCTTAATAACTTTCTTAAACTATACTGGATTCCTACCAAACTTGGACAGAAGCTTGTTTATGATCATAAGATAGTATCCAGAAGAAATTTTGTAAAAAAGAATCCAATTTATCTGTATTTTACTTCTAAATGGACTTAGTTTTTCTGCCAGTTAACATTACATTCACTCTGGTTAAAGCTTTTAAAATGTTAATAACTTCTTACACTATACTGGATTTCTACTAAACTTGGACAGAAGCTTGTTTATGATCATAAGATAGTATCCAGAAAGAAATTTTGTAAAAATATTTTTCCTGTTTTTCTGTATATTACTTATATATGGACTTAGTTTTTCTGGCAGTTAACATTACATTCACTCTAGATCTGTGGTTAAAGTTTTTGAAATTTTAACATACATGTGATTCTTCCGGCAGGAGTTAAAATCTCCTCCTTTTCAGACCCTCTTCCGTCCCTCCCATTAAAATTTGAAATCTTCCGCTTTTTGAAAATGTCAATCTCGAAAAATTTTCAGTACAAATTTCTGTTTACAAAATAGATACGGACAGGGAAAAAGTCTGAGAAACTTGAAATTGATATGGGAAAAGTCAGAGAAAAAAGGAAGTCACCATTTCCTGTTATTGAATTTGTGACAAAGGTAAATAGGAAATTAGCCTCGAGTAATCAATGAAGGTGTTAAGGATTAGACTATATACAACAACAAAAGATGATTGGCATTTACCTAGTAATCAACTAGCTAGTTTAATACACACATCTGGATGATTAAAAGTGAAATACTGACAGTGGAAAAGTATAAACAACGACTTTAATAAATTTTTGATGCTGAAAAAATGGAACAGTTTATACTGAACCTCAAAGTCAAATGAAATCAACTCAAATATGATATATATGGCTTGTTTTCTATCCAAGCCAATGGAATACCTATAGTTTGTCTTATAATTTGACAAATGCAAACTGTATGTTATCACCAAATACCCCAGTAGCATGTTAAGGAAGACCAAGTATCTAGCCAAATTTAACTCTGCCTGGAGAACAGATTTCAAATGGTGCAAGTCCAGTGCCAAGGGTCGAGACCATGCTTACTACACTTCTTGCAAAGCTGACTATGGTGGCCCTAATTACTTGACCAAAAATATGGAGACTGCTACCCACCAGAAAGCCCACAACTCTATCAATTCAACACCTTCTATTACAAACATGTTCAGTAGTGGTACCAAAGTTGACAATGTAGCTAAATCAGAGGTACTTTCTGCCAACTATGTATGATGGCTGATCACTTTATCTTGGAACTATATATGATGAATAAATATTTGAACCCCCCTTATCTTCTATTTTATCAAGTAAAAGTGGCTATGCAGGTGTTTAAAGGTATTGAATAATTGTTCTTTTAACAAAAAAGGAA